TTCAGTTATTCAATTGCATAAGACTAATACTACGGACTATGCCTTAAAACAACTTTTAACACTCAAGACTTATCCTAAAATATAATAACTTCTCCACCAACATTCTGTTCCAACCAATCACCACTATCCATCATTCGCTTTTTCCACCTACCTCCATTTCTTAACCAATCACGACCTCTCCCTATTTAATTCTACCTACTTTCTTAATAATCATGTCTAACTCTAAAACTTCTTATATTCTGGGACGGATGTAGTAATATACAAATCTGGTCCACCTCCTACCTTCAGTCGGATAAGCTGTCCGTGTAGATATATATTACCCAAAATCTCCACAGCTATGTAACCCGAGGGAGAACTAGCATACAGCTGCGTGTGTTGTCTCGTCATCTAGGTGGTGTTTGGTTGCAAGGATGGGATGGGACGAACCCACTTTGAGGAGTATTTGGTTTATGAGTTAGTGGGTTGGGTTGGTCCCTGAAGAGGAATATTCCTCTCAAAATCTAGGACCAACCCATCCGGTAAAATCAACCGGACGAGCTCGTCCTACCTAGACGGAGTACACGACGTCAGCTTGTCTCTACATCCGCTGGCGCTCATCCGTGATGTCTGCCACCTCCGCAACTGCCGACGCCTCTCTGCAAGCGGCTGCCACCTCTCCTCCACGACCCTCCGCCACCTCTCCTCCACGAGCGGTCGACGACCCTCCGCGACCCACTGCTGCCGACCCTCCGCGACATGTTGCCGCTTCTCCTCTGCGAGAGGCCAACGCTCCTCCGCGACCCGTCGTCACCTTGTCTCCGCCGCCTCTCCTCCGCGAGCGGCCGCCTCGCCTCTCCTCCACGACTGGTCATCTGCCTTCTCGCTCGTCCGCCCGTCTGCCTGTTGGTCGCCACCACTCCTCCTTCCGCCTGCTCGCTCGTGCGCTCGTCGAGTCATCGGCCACGCCGTCCCTCCTCCGCTTGCTCGCTCGCCGAGTTGCTGGCCGCACCGCTCCCACCAGCTTGCCGCCGGGATCGAACGTGGGTTGACGGTAGCCACAAATGGCGTCCATCCCATACCTCCCTCATCCTTTCTACCAAACAAAGAACTGGGATGGTCTCATCCTATGAACCAAACATGCGAGTAGAATCATCCCATCCTAAAAATCAGGGATGGTTTCATCCCACCCCATCTAATCCCAGAACCAAACAAGTGTTGTTCTTGGCTTTGATGATGTGCCGATTAATTTTCCAACGACTTTCGGTACTCCAAATACTCCATCAATGCACTGGCACGCCATATCGGGGGTGTTTAGATCCAGGGGTGTAAAGTTTTGGCGTGTCACATCGGGTATTATATAGGGTGTCGTATGGGGTGCTCGGACACTAATAAAAAAACTAATTACAGAATCCATTAGTAAACCGCGAGACGAATTTATTAAGCCTAATTAATCCGTCATTAGCATATGTTTACTGTAGCACCACATTGTCAAATCATGAAGCAATTAGGCTTAAAATATTCGTCTCGCAAATTAATCGCAATCTATGCAATTAGTTATTTTTTTAGCCTATATTTAATACTTCATGCAGGTATTAAAATGTTCGATGTGTCAGGGTAAAAAATTTTGGGTGGGATATAAACAGGGCCAAAGCCAAAGTCTGAACTTTCGAAATCTTCTCTCCTGCATCTGCACAAATGTGACAGTTTTTAATTATACATGCTTTGACTATGACTGGTACTAGCCGGGAGAAGAAAGGAGAAGAGAAGATGAGAGCAAGAACTGAACTGTTCCAATCCAAGGCCACTTGGACCCTGCCTTCTCCAGTCGTATCTGGCGCAGGTGGCGATCCTTGATGATGATGAATCGGTGACAACCTTGTGGAGATTTGCAGTTTGCAGATTTGCAGATTTGTGATGATGATGATGATGAATGTGAGCTTGAGTAAGTTGAGTTTGCAGAGCAGCATAGCATACGGCCATGGCAGCTGCATACTCCACTATGCACAAGTTCAATGCATGCATTTACAAACTCCTCGTACCCCCTGTGAGTGTGACAGAAGAAGAGGGAAAAAACAAGGATGCAATCTTGCATTCTTGCTTCTTGTCCTTGTCCAGGTCCAGGTCCAGGTGCAGTGATCCATCAGATTTAAGACATTTTGTTACCATTATCATACTAGATGCCATACCATTGTTTTCATGAAATTACTCCAAGCAGATGCAACTAGTACTAGACTACTAGTATGTATACCAAGTGATGTTCACTTGTTCGTCAGCCATCTCCAACAACATTTACGGCAGTTGAACCAGCTTCAGAATCACTACTCCTACCTGCAGTAGATGCCATTTCAGATAGATTGGCAATCAATTAAGATGGCCTTTTGGCCGCTCAAGAAACTGTGTACTACCAATGAATTGAATGCAGATGGAATTTCTCGCAAGATCTTCAGGGATATGTTCAGTCTGCATCGGAGGGGAGCTGATCCTGCACAGTTTCTCAATTCTTGGCATATTAGTAGAAGTAGATTACTAGCAGCGGCATCGACGATCAATGCCTTTGTTGGCTTTTTTTTTTAATACGCAAGGAGCGCATCTTTGTATTAAGAAGGAATAAATATATGTACAAAGCGGGAAAAAAAACAAAGCGAAGGGGACAGGGTACAGGAGGAGAACCAAGAAATAAAAGCCTAATCTCCAACTAAATTTTGCGACCCTTCTCCACTAACATGAGCTACCAAAACGGGGATTGCAGCTCTAGCTAGCCGCCACAGCTCCGCTTCACCCGTCATAACCCTTGCAACCTCCGCCCAAGTTCTGCTCTTCTGGTTGAAGACTCGATTGTTTCTTTCCTTCCAGATCGTCCATGCAACCAACGTCACGATGGTGTCGAAACCCCGGCAATGTTCCTTGACCATCTTCTTGCGACAGTCGCACAACCATGAGAGGAAAGAGTGTTCATTGAGCGGTAAGCACTCTGAATGCCCGATAGCTCTGAGCGCAACCCACCACAGTTGCCACGACTCCGGGCATGCGACCAAGAGATGATCAATTGTCTCTTCGCATTGATCACACAAAACACATCGATCCGGGTGCGACAAACCACGACTCCGGAGACGGTCTGCTGTCCAGCAACGGTTAAGAGCTACTTCCTCCGTTTCATAATGTAAGTCATTCTAGCATTTCTCACATTCATATTGATGTTAATGAATATATATATATATATATATATATATATATATATATATGTCTAGATTCATTAACATCAATATGAATGTGGAAAATGCTAGAATGACTTACATTGTGAAACGGAGGGAGTACCAACCAAAGGAAGTAGCGACAGCGAGGGGGTGCCAAAGATTGCCAAATTAGCTTGTGCTGGAGACGAGTTCTTCCAAAAAAGAGAACACGAGAAGCCGAGCGGGAAGAGTATTCTCCTGAGGTCTCCCACCGCCAAGATAGAGAGTCCGGCTCTTCGGAAAGCCGCACTGACCGAAGGCAATCCCAAAGCTTGAAATACTCCAGGATCGCTTGAATACCCAACGCCGAACTGATGTCCTGGATCCATCTTCTGTTAGTCATTGCCTCGGCCACCGTGCGTCGATTCCGGAGATGGGCAGGGATTGCAGCATAGACAGCCGGCGCTAGCAACCGAATGGAGGAACCCTGCAGCCAGCAATCCTCCCAGAACAGCACCGAATTCCCATCCCCTACCAAGCATACCATAGAAATCGATACTAGATTGCGCTCCTTCTGCGAGACCAGAATACTAAGCCCTTGCCACGGCTTTTCCGGTGAAGTTCTCTGCTGCCAGAGCCATCGCGACCTCAAGGCGATTCCCAACCTCTCTAGATCAGGAATCCCCAAACCACCATACTCCTTGGGCGAGCAAACTCGAGCCCATGCGACCCGACAGACGCCGCCGTTTGCATAAGCTTTGCCAGCCCAAAGAAAGCTGTGGCGGATCTTGTCAGCCTTTGTTGGCTTTTCACCATCTGCTCATGAACTGGTCAAGAAGCGAGCACTGGTTGGCACATCATCTCTGAACTCTCTGAATCTTCTCTCCCGCATAATCGAAACATCAAATAATTGAGTTCACCCTAACCTCAAAAGGCTTAAAAAGGTGGTCTGACCGTAAAACTGAAGACTGCTTCGATAACGTTTCTGTAGAAACTCGTTTTGTCCAAAACCAACCGTTAGATCAAGTTTACTTTATTAGAATAAATTAGATAAACTAAGAAGCAACTTCACCAGATGAATTTGTTCATAATGTGCAACCACAACACCCCTCATGAGTTTCTTATAAGACCATAATACAAAGAGATCCAAACTCTCGAATTTCTCGATTGTGGCTTACCCTCAGGGGTTAACCTCTCTCGCTATTTATATCCATGGATGTGATGTCCAAAGTCACGAATTTAACTAGTACTACTAGGAATCCTAATCACAAAGTTGGGAGTGCACCAGCAGGAAGAGAAGCATAAGCAATGAGTCATCTGTATTCTGTCTTGTAAAAGAAAATGATAAGTGTGATATCTGAGAAACTGGTTTCATAATCGAACCTGCCCACATATTTCACCTACGCTACTGCAGTTTTTGGCAATCTTGCACTTTTCTCCTTCTGTCACTGAATTGTGGGTCCTTAGCCTCACGTGTCAATGAGACAGACAAGAAGTGCAAATAAAGGATTAAGGGTGTGTTTGAGAAGAAGGGGATTGAGGAGATTGAGAAGATACGCAAAACGAGGTGAGCCATTAGCTCATGATTAATTGAGTATTAATTATTTTAAATTTTAAAAATGGATTAATATGATTTTTTTAAAGCAACTTTCCTATAGAAAATTTTTACAAAAAATACACCGTTTAGTAGTTTGGAAAGCGTGCGTGCGGAAAACGAGGTGCTCTCCCTCAATGTCCTCCAAACGAACGCTGCCTAAATTGTTGTAGTGTAAAACAAGGAAATTCTTCAGCATGTTGAAATTTTGGTTGATGTTTGTGCTATTGGCTGTTAATGTTTCTTTTTGAAGATGGAAAGTACAACGCACCATCAAGAAGAGAAGCATTAGTATTTGGAGACATTTTGGGTTTCCTATCTTGTAAATAATCGATATATAGTCTCGAAGAGGTCGTTGCAAATTGTTTCGATATATATAAACTGCCTATCGTTTCTTAGAGCTAGGACCGAGCACAGTCCTACTCCTAGCAATTAACATAACTACGAATTTTACCAACTCTTCTTTTACCATAAAAAGAACTGAGGCGGCAAAGACGCTCTGTACAATCTTCGTACCCATTCCTTTGTAAAACCCGTGCAATCCTTCATACCGGATCATCTTTATGATCGCGTCAATCGTACCTGGAGAAAACAGGCAGTCAGCATTATATTACTTGCACAATGAGTAGCAAATATTCCCTCCGTCCCAAAATATCTATATCCGTAGCTAAAAGTAGCTACATTTTATAACGGAAGAGGTATAGCTAAATGTCTGACACACAAGACATAGGAGCAGCGCGGAAAAACAATGATCCCAACAAATATGGAAATGAAACAGTGTTTTCTGCTAGTAAGTTAAAATGGTAGGAAATGATTTACCTGTGTATCTGGACATCACATTCCTGCCAATTTCTTGTTTTGCTTGCAACCTAGACTGCATTAGTTCAATACAACAATCAGGATAGCACAAACAAACATGACACTATTTTGATAATGTAAACCATTCATACACTCAACCCAGATAGACTGGCATTGCCTGCAACTACTTGCACCCGTGGCAGGTCTAGATATTGTCGTTGTTGAGTAAAGTCTCACAAGATTAAATTATATTCTGAAGGAGAGCAAAAATGTGGTGCAGCATATTCATGGGGTTGTTGTATGCAACAATGCAGGACAGCTATTAGTACTGTAGTTGTTTTGCTGAAAGCATTTGTTTTAACAACATCAGAGAAACAGAGTAGAGAAATGGAAAAGAAATCTCTAGCATCGATGTGGACTTCCGGGTTTCTATTCAGGCCTATTTTGGCAATCCTGAGTGGCCCATCACTGGCTGATCTGACAAGCCAGTAATTCCTCATTTCTTAAAAAAAATTGAGCTTAAACAGATGTACAAGTGAGAAATGCATCAGTTTTAACACTTTGCACAAGATAAGATGATTTACATGTATATAATATTAAGTTTACCTTAACCACTAGCAATGGGTATGTCACAACAGTAGCTCCGAGCTTTGCTATTGCACCTAATAAGAATACCTGCTCAAAGAGAAAATGGTAAGGATAGGACATATAAATGCATCAAAGGAAATTTCAAAGAGCTTAAGATGTTATTTAGCTCTGGATCTGAAGAATAAAGAAACAAATATATGGTCTGTGCTATGGACATAATTAAACAAAGGGAAGTAATAATGATGAATATTCTTTAGTGCATTCATAGAATCATAAATTGACTGCATAGCTAATTGTAGTATGAAATTACTCTGTCCTGGCGCTTTATGTGGCCAAATTATCTGGTTTGCTCAAATAACCGTAGCATGCATCTTTAAATATAATAATTTATGGAGTACAAGAATTATAGACGAATGATTTGAAGGTAATTATAGCAATCCCAACGATGATTCTTTTTACATTGAACCAAATATTATTGATCATGATCAATGTAGCTTTATTTGCATCAAAGCGGATAAACGGTGAACAGGTTTATAGGATTGAAAGATACAATACAAATTTCTAGAAATAAAAAAGAAACATGAAGTTCCTAGGAAGGCAGCACATGCAAATAGCTGATGCCATCTAACTGTTAAAAACTCATATATCCACAGACACAGATACATGCAAATTTCTAATGCAGAGCTAAATCGAAAAAACAAATCCATACCTCCATAGCAGTAAGGTTCTTTTTTGGGAGTTCCTTTCCAGATCTCTTTGACCGGAGACGCTTTGCCAATGTTTCATAGATCATAAATTGAATTGATGGATTACATACCTAACAATTTAAATGGTTCATTCTCTATAGTCACTCTTACATAACCACTAATTTCAGCTCAAATGTTTTGAGAAACATAAACTAACCATAATTAGTGTTGGAATAAGTCCTTTCCAGAATCCTCTTATGCCTGATTCACGGTAGACCTCCCGGACCTACATACTACTGATAAAAGTAAGAAAAATCATGTCTGACCAGTGACAAATACATTTGATTAGTTAAAAGCAAGTTTGTAGAGCCCAAAACTTGAAATGCAATTGCAGCTACTATTCATTGTAGTTTTTTGCAAACAGAATTTTAAAATCTGTAAGTGCAGCAATTAGTTCTAGAAGGAAGAAAGCAATTCGATAAAAAAATCAAGAATTCTTGTACTATCTAAATAGTACAAGTGAGAAATCTATCTAAATATCTAGATGTGGTCACAACTCTCAACAAAAAATAGAGAGGAGCAGGGTTGGGTGTGGGGGATTCACGTACTATCTTATTTTATGTGCTGCATAATTGTTAAGAAATGGATTATATATACAAAATAATGTATAGCAACTTAAGGAATGTGAGTGTGCTCAATTACTCACCGCTTGAATTGTCCCATATGGACGAGGCTTTTCAGAATCAAGTTTATACAACCTGTCCTTAAGAATTGAGACCTCTATTGAATTGGCCCTAGCAACATCCTTCAGCAAAAGCTCCTTTTTAGACTCCATGATCTTCTTTTCTGCTTGTGTATGTGTCTGAAAAATGGAATAAAGTTAATTTCCAAACTGATGATAAAAAAACTTACAGATATTTTGAATAATATTAGAATGTTCCAATTTAATAGTAGTTGCATAGTTAATACAAGCTTGGTTACAACCGACCATGGTCTTCCAACTAATTTCACAAAGGATGTCATGGACCAATAATCCTTGTGATTCGGCGCCTCCTGAAGTTTCATGGATCATTGTCATCATAAAAACAAAGCTAATGCTTGGAGTCAGGCAGGTACAAAGAAGGTAAGTATGCTACCAGAAAGTGGGGGCAAAAGCAACAGTAATTAAATTCAATGGGTGCAATACCAATGTTAATATTCTAACATATTAGAAGATTTCTTCTCTTTTTTTGAATTTTGACAGGACATACAGTATAGTAACTCATTAACCCCATCATCGACGATCTTTTTTGGTGTTATATGTCATTTTAAAATATAGACTGTTAAACAAAATTTACCTGCATACGAGTCACGAGAACCCATATTGGATTGGTAAGAAGAACATTGATTGACCTGCAGCAGAGAAAAGTGTCCATCAGAATGCCTGAGGATCAATGTTGCAATATTACATTCAAAGTGCAATCTTCGCCATACTGGTGACTCTATTTCACAGCGCTATGGTTTTCCAGAACAAAAACCATCTTAACTGGAAAGGATTACACGCTTCAAATTCAAAGTTAATCACCGCCTTCAGTCAGTTCTAAGGAGGCAAGGCCATACGAACAATCATGGCAACCATACATTACCATGAATTACATTTTCTTATCTCCCTTTCCGAAACAATTTAAGGTTTCAACGCTCTGTTAGCCTTTGCAAGCTCAGTCAAATTCATCAGAACTCTATTACAATTCGTTTGACAGGATACTATGGAGATGCCCTATTGGACCACTACCAACTGATAATGTCCCGGTTGTCCAGACTGAATTGTTCATTCCAGCATTAAATGGAGACAAGCATTCGATTTGTTTTGGGTGAATGTTGGGGCTCCAGGTTGACTTGACATATAAATGATGTTTAGCAATTTCAGTGCGAGAGTAGATGGCTTACCCAGCAACAGCTGCAATACCAAGCCAGGAGAACATCCCAACAGTACCATCCCCTAGACCCTTCTTACCGCGAGCAACTGCTAGATCTTCCACCTTGTTTTTGAGAATCTGGTAAAAGTAGTAATAGATTCCCTACAACCACAAACAGGATGAACCATAAATCCTGAATACCACCGTACAGACTCATCCAAGTATCATCACATTGACAAACAGGGAAATACAATTGTTACAGAAAAAAATGATGTGAGTAGCACCAAATTACTAAACCAGTGGAATTTACCTGTGAAGCAGCGGTGCCAATAAGAGAGGGTTTAAGGCCGCTATACAACCCTCCCCATCCTTCTGTTTGGAACAGCTGCAGTAACTCGATTCCACACTTGGCCATTATAACATTAGAGGAGGCAATTCCAAATAAACTAAAAGTCCAGGAGGAACTACCTGGAGCATCTGGAAGAGGGTGGAAGTATTGGCGATGGCTGCGCCATTGGCCTTCTTCTTTTTTGCTGACCTCTCTGTCTGCTGCCGGGTGTTCACCTGCTCAGGCCATCATCATGATGAGGAAGGATTGAGCAGACTATAAAGGAACAGCAGAGCTACATAAGATGGTAGGGGGAGAATGATTGTACAGTCTGGAGGGGGTAGGTGATGATCTGGGCGATGATGCCACCACCGGCACCAGCCAATCCATTCACCGCCGCACTCGACATGCGCCAACCTGAAAAACCCATGCGCAATCAGAAAGCAACGCAATGAATTCCTATAAGCTACTTGTTTGGTGGAGCAGCATGAGGAAGACGGACGTGTGCGTTGATGCAGAGGCAATGGACACATGGTGCCGAGGCAAGGTCCGCACGCGCCATGCAGAGGCCACTAGGTATTGCCACTAAGAAGCTACTAAAATACATTTCATAATGTAAAAGCCTTTCCTTTCGCATTCATCTAATGATGTCAATTTGAATCAAATTAGCAACTAACAATTCAATTGGACTATTTTGATCAACGAAATAACCCAATATCGTTATTTGCTTTGTTTCAGCCACTGGTAGTTGATCATGAAGACCGGCCTAGAGAAAGCCATACTTGGCCTATGAGGTTGTGAGTTGTGACTCCTTACGTCGTTGCGAGAGATACATAGGTAGTGTTTGGTTTGAAAGCAAGCTTGGATGGGTTTTAGGCATCCATGTTTTTGGGGGATGATCCAAGTTGCCTGTCTGGTTGGATGGATTGGATGAACCGATTTTTTGTTTGGGATACATGTTGGATGGGATTGGACGACAACTAAAAAGTTTACAAATGCGAAAGGAGGAGGCTCTATTAAGTAGGGGTGAAAACGGTACGGAAACTTTCCGGATTCCGGGCCTGTTTTCGGAAACGGAATCAGCCGGTCGGAATTTCTCGGAAACAGAATCGAAAACGGAAACATTTTCTCGGAAACGGAATCGAATATGATAATAGCAGTTTCTGTCGGAACTCGGAATCGGTCGGAAAAATTCCGGAAAAAATATCGGAATTTCCGAAGTTAAAAAGGCCCATAGAATCAATAGTCTATAACTCGTCCCCAAGTTTTAAGCCCAACCCAAATCGCGGCATCTACCCAAATAGTGGCTAACCCTAGAGGAGAGAGACAGCCACACGGCATCGCAACTTTGCGAGACCGCGAGCCGGCGGCGGAGCATCGCGCTCCGCCCACCGCTAGCGCCCACCGCCCGGCGCCCGCGCCACCGCTGGTCCGCCATCCTCGGCTCCTCGCAACCTCACCCCCACCGTCTTCGCCGTCTCGTACCGCCGCCATCTCGCGACGCTGTCCCGCCGTTTCGCAGCGCCGTCTCGCGGCCGCGGCGCCGTCCCGCCGTTTCACCGCCGCTACCACCACTGACGACGACGCCACAGCCACACCAAGGAGCCGACGACGCCTCGCCTCGCAGTCGCAGCAGCCAGCAGCCCAGCGGCAGTAGCCAACAGCCCAGCGGCAGCAGCCAGCAGCCCAGCTACGAGCCGACGAGCCTAAACCATTGATTTGATTTCTTTTGTGCTGTAGATTTATGATGGAATCATCAAATGCAAGTAGCTGTTTTGTGATTGATCCAAGTACTGTACTGATGGATTGATGTGTGCTGCTGTTGTGTGATGACCGAAACAATTGATGAACTATGTACTGATGATGGAGTGATAGCTCATAGCAGATTAGCAGTAGCTCATAGCAGATTAGCACTATAGCACTGAATAATAGTGTATACTATATATCTTATACAAGGGTGTTTTGCTGTAATTTTTTTTAAATATTTGTTATGCAAATTATATGAAGTTATAGAAGAATATATTTTGCTGTTGAGACGATTTCATATAATTGTGTTTTATGATGAATTGTTGACTGTTGAGACTTGAGAATTGGACTTGACAAAAGTTTGAAGCTCAGTTTGAGGGGTTGTTGTATTCCGATAAATTTTCGTTACCGTATCCGCGCCGGTTCGTTTTTGCTCCGTTTTCGGTTTCGATAATATTCGTTTCCGTTTTCGTTTCCGGGGTTTCCGATTCCGAAAAAAATATGAAAACGAAAACGATAAAGGTTGTTTCCGTCCGTTTCCGTACCGTTTTCACCCCTACTATTAAGTCCAAGCATGTTTACACAAGTTCAATCATTCTTACATATTTTAGTGTTTAGATAATTCCCATCCTATCCCTTTCATTCATTGACCTATTTCTAATGGCTTGCCTCATCGCATCCTTTTCCTTTTTCTAGACGCATATGCCCTGCAGCCCTATAATACAAAAAAGCTTGGTCCTCTTGTCCATCTATAACATAGCGAGGCAAACAAGAACACACTACAGTGTCATACAACATAGCGGGCCATCGACACCGTCTCCAATGCACATGTTTCATCCTTATTTTTTTTCAAACTACATATTTAAAGGAAATATTAAAAGTATAACCATATGAACGTGTTTTTTCACGACAAATCTATCAATAATTCAATATCGTTTTCCTGTCAAATCCTAATATTTTTTAGTTTGTTTAATTAGTTAATTAACCAGTTATTAATATCTTCGCATTTCCATTCCAGGAACGAACGACAACTTCACAAGTAAATAAATAAGCAGTTCAGATTTATGTAAGGGCACAAATACCAAATAGATCATGTACAAATTCACGAGCATGAAAAATCATCACTAATAAACAACATCGCTCCATGAAGACTCGATCCTCACCTGCCCGAGGTTGCGGTGCGTGGAAGGAGGAGGGACGACGCGGCCGCCCGCCGCCCGCCGCCGGCTGTGAGCGCCGCCCTCGCCGCGCCTCCTGATTTCGTGGATAAGGAGGAGGGAAGTGAGTGAAGGGATGAACGGGAGATGTGGAGTGGAAATTTTCGACAGATTAAAAATGTTTTTCTGACTTTCGGTTTATTTAATCTGTTACGTGAAGCCTCGGTTTTCAGAAAATATCAGTTCTGTAAGAAAAAGCCGAATTAACCGGACCGGTTTTTCAGACCTGTTTTTTTTTTCTTCACATCAAAATTGAAAGTTTGATTGAAATTGGAACGATATGATAGGAAAGTTAGAAGTTTATATGTGTAAAAAAAAGTTTTAATGGAACGGAAAAGTCGGATGTTTGGTGAAAAATTTTGCAACTGAACAGGGCCAGAAGCGGAGCACCTGCACGAGGCGAGGACAGAGGAATGGCCGGAGGTGCGCCTGCTTGCACCGCCGATGTGGTCGCCGCCGCAGTTCGCTGGGCATTGGGTTGGGTTGGGACACGTAAAAGTCACTTCGGTGTCTCCTCCACAAGCCCTAATGTAGGTGAGAAATTTGGGATTATACCATCCCACAGTTCGTCCAAATGCGTTTCCCTCCGGTTTCATAATTATTTATTTTATGGTTTGAACATCAATACGGTCTTCGAAATATATATATATATAGTTTTCGCACTAAACGCACCGTTTAGCAGTTTAAAAAGCGTGTCACGAAAATTTTAATCTTCATCAAACTCTTATTGGAGAAAAGAACGGGACCTAGATACTACACGTCAGAGTGCTTAATAACTAGGATAAAATACAATTTGTGCTTGCTTGCGCCGAGCTCATGGAGGAGGGAGGGCGATCAAGCTCGAGGCGACATAGGTGAATGGTGAGCAACTGAGCACAGGGCAGGCAGCAGGGTTCACAATTATGGTCTAACTCGATTTGCAAAATCTTTCTGAACCGGGGCAAAAACACAAACCACACGGTTATTGGGTCAAGCTAAAAAAAACAAACTGAATTTAAAAATTTGGACAAAATTTATCAGGATCTTATCGGTTTTTGTGGTTTATCAATGTATTCCATAAAATCCGATGATATTGCTCGTGAGCGGATTATAGTTGAGTTGGGTAATTCGTATGTTTTATAAATATAGTAGCATAGATAAGTAAGAGAGAAATTAGACTAAACATAAACTCAATCGTATAAAAAGAACTACTCCCTATATCTAGATATAGATGTATTTAACATTGAAATATTGTGAATATTCCTCACCTTAGCCAATCAAACTATCCGTGTATTTAACATTGAAATATTGTCAATATTCCTCACCTTAGCCAATCAAACTATCCTTGTATTTAACATTGAAATATTGTCAATATTCCTCACCTTAGCCAATCAAACTATCCTTTATTTAAATTGTATCTGAACCTTAATCCCTCCAAAAAAAAACCTATTATTTAAATTGTATCTGAACCTTAATCCCTCCAAAAAAAACCTATTATATTTTGGGGTATATGTATCATTCACTCCTCCAGCCATGAATATAGCCAAAACCAGCCATGAACATAGCCAAACCAATCTCAACGAACAGTACTGCACAACGGCGTGGCTGCATATGCAATTGTTTGGTTCCACTTCCACTCAGACGTAATCAAGCAACATCAGACAGGAGACGAGGACGTTGCCGCATATACAATTGAACCATTGCGCACAGATGGCAGAACAATAGAAATGGAATTAACAGAGCAGCTTCCGAGCTCCGTACAAGAACACAGTTAGCAGTGTATTTATTTGGACAAAATGCACTAGTTGACCAAACATTTATAATGTTTTAAGTGCTTCAAACAACCGCTAGTTCCAGACACATTGAAGTGATTGCTCGACACATACGAAACCGAGTTCACAAAGCAGCATAAGAGTATACATGCGATAACAACAGGAAACAAATGAAGTTACGCTCGTACTAGATTCTACATATCGTTTATTCTAGCAGTGTTCTACTGGTAATTCCTCCCTTGTCCGTCCCTCTCATAAGCCGGCACACCGGCATTGTAGTTATCGCCGCCTTGCTGGTAGCTAGGGTTGCCTCCTTGGCCATGGTAGCCTGGTGCATAGCCAGGGTTGCCACCTTGGTAAGGAGGCGGGTTGCCGCCCTGGTAACCTGGCCCTCCTCCCTGGTATCCAGGGTTGTTGCCTTGGTAAGCAGATGGTGGGGGTGGGGGTGGACCTTGGTAGCCCTGGTTGCTACCTTGATAGCCAGGGGGTCCACCTTGGTAGCCAGGCGCACCGCCCTGCTGATAGTTTGTATAGCCTTGCGGATTTGGTGCATGGGGCTGGTAGTTTGGAGGACCTGCATTTGGTGGTGGAGGTGGAGGAACATTACCCTGAGCATGGTGCATCGGAGGAGCATCACGAGGCGGGACTGGGCCCTGACCTGGTGGGGGAGGGCTGTTGAATCCCTGGCCAGGAGGCACATCTCTGTTCTGGAAGTTCTGCATGTTCTCCCTTCTCCTCTCAAAATTCCTTGACCTGTCAAAGTTTCTAGGCCTATCATTGCGCCGGCTTCTTTCATTGGCACGCGCATTGTTTCTCACCCACTCCTCGTGGTACTTAGGGTCATAAGGAACGGCTTCCCCATTTATAAAAGGTTCTCCTGCAATAAAAGACAAGGTGTCAAATACACACCAAATGCTCATAGATCACATCTCTATGATTCCATCACATGGATAAAGACATTACAAAACAGATAAAAATAACTATGAACTCATAAAACTCTGCTAGATATAATTATGAACTAAGCAACAAACAGCACACTAAAAATAACATATGTATTCAAATTCTCAACCACAGAAGATGGTAACTGCCACGGACAGTCCGCAATCACTACCACTACCATGACATATATACAACTACAAACAGAAGGTCCAAGTTACCATTTACTCCCTCAAAACTAGATAACTAAATAGATATTACTGACTCAAGTTTATAAAGTTTGCTTGAACTAGTTGATTTCACTGCGATGACTACTGATAATCAAGCAATCCAACTTATCAGATGGTCTAGGGAAGAAATAGCAAACTAAATTTCAAGATATCCTAGTACTAGGAGATTTCACAGGATACAGACTCCAAATAAAAAGTTCAGTGGTATGCTAGAATACAAGGTGACACCAGAGCAATCAGCAGAAGAGTTCCATGGTAAAACATATACTTGACGCAGAAAAAACATAACCTCTATAAAACAAGAGCCAGAAATTATCAGTTCAAAGCATTGCACAGGGACATTAGAATTAATCAGTTTGATCATAATATGGCATCATACACATAGAGAGCAATTATCACAGAGGATCTATATAACTAACACGGAAATGATATAAAAACAGTTCAGAAAAGAAAGTGATGATATGTAATTCAATAGGAAGAGAATGAACATTTACCTCCGTAGTCCTTATTTCTGACATCCAGGTATGAGTCTGGAAGAACCCAGCGGACCTTGGGCAACTCTGGCAAAATAATTTAATAGCACAGCGTTAAAGCAAGAACACAAGTGACCCCCATAAAACATCCCCTACAAAGAATTTCATACAACCATAAATACCTTTGAGTTTGTAGGAGAGTTCCTCAGATACAAGAGCTCCAAAAGCAAAGTAATGCCGAGTTGACACTGAGTAGATCTTATGCCTTGCTTCTTCCTCACTGGAAGAAAGGACACATTTGGTTAAAAAGAATTATGAGCAATTTATATAATGGCCAATACCCAGGGCATATATCAAGAAAATAAATGAATAAACTAAGCAAATAAATTGTTATACAGTAGGACTTACATGATGCGATAATTAAAGAGAAACCAGAAAAACTAGCACATGCTACCATGAAGATGGACGCCTAAATATGTCAGTGGTTGACAGAATTAATAGAACACAATCAATTTTCAAAACAGGGCATGAAGCATGATTAAAAAACATCGTGTTGATAACAGGAGGGCATGACCTCCCTTCTAATTTACAAATCATCCCCATAGAAATACCAATTTATTCCCCCATAATAACTAACTACATGCAACACCATGAGACCAGATTAATATGGAAACCGTAGCGAATCAAAAGAAAATGACAAATACATGTGGAATCTATAAATAAAATCCCAGTCACATTTGTGAAAATAAAATAAAATATGCATCAACAGTACAGAATACACTATCACTGAAACAGGTATTTATCAGCCAATCCACCACAGATGAAGTTAACAAATAATACCATGGAAAAACTTCACATATCACCTAACTATAAATATCCCCAAATCCACTTCCTCCGTCCCATTTCCTCACCCCCAATCACGACCCAATCACGAACTAACAGATTAAATCGAGTGTTTCCACGAAATCCCACGGATGCGAGATGCGCGTGAGAGGGAGAAGGGGGGGAGGATCGTTCAAGACGGCCATATATACCTCCCAACCACCTGTGCGAGGGTTTTGATGTAGCCGTCGATAATCTCGTCGCGGGTGGGCTCCGGGTTGGAGGGATCGCCGGGGGGCGGCTCCACGACGACCAGCCAGTGCTCGAAGTCGCACCCGTCGAGGAGGATCGTCTCCTTGGGGGGCCGGTTGCTCCAGTTCGGCGACGAGTCCCGCAGCGAGGAGGTCGCGGGCTGCGTGGCGAAGCACCTCGCCGCCGCCGCCGCCGCGCGCGGGGCGGAGGGGGCGAGCGCCGCCGGGAGGAGGCTCCCCGCGGCGGAGAGCGGGCGGAGGAGGCGGGAGGTGGAGGAGGCGGCGGCGGCGGGGAGCCTGGAGAGGAGGAGGAAGCGCGACGCCGACGCCATGGGGGAAAACCCTAGATTGGGAATGAGGGGGGCTGAGGGTTTAAGCCTAATCCGGGCAATCGGCTCCCATTTTTATAGCCGCATATTATATATTCCTCGGGTTGATAATATTTTTAGTTTTGGATTAGGGATAATTTCCAAAACATTTGCTTTACACACTTTTCGGTTAATTAATCACTCTACTATTTAGAGAATGAGAGATGTTCGAAAAGGATTTATTAAAGATGTTCAAAAAGAATTTATTAAGTGAATTATGTATGATGATGATTTAATATGTTTGTATTTAAATCTCTTAAATTTACAATCTAATAAATTATAGAATCATAGATAATATAACATGCTTTGCCTCTAGACCGCCTCCGGCAGCATGCCCCGCCGGACCTTGTCGGTGGCGGCGTGGAGGTAGGTGATCCCATCAGCGTCGGCGGGGCGGAGCCCGATGTTCTCCCAGATCGAGATCTAGCCGCGCGGCCGGAAGCGGGGGTCGGCCAGCGTGGGGTCCCGCGGGTCGGCGGTGGATGCGCTCCAGCGGGAGCACACGGCGTGGAACGCTTTGTACTCCCTCACGCCGGCGGCGAGCAGCCGCTCCGCGATGTGGTTAGCGACCTCGTCGTGGAGCGACGTCCAGTCCCGCTCCTCCACCTCCACGACGGCCGCCGCTTCCCGCCGCCACCGAGGCAACACGCACCCGCCTTGCGCTTGCCTTGTACGTTCATCCCCCCTCTTCCTCCGCTGTCATCGCCTCCCGCCCCGCCGGAACAAAACAAGGGTTTATATAGCAACTCCGGGGAACCCGCCTCCGATCCAACACTCGATGCAACTCAATCGATCTCCGAATCCGATTCATAATACAACAGTGAGCTTGGAGGACAAGGGTGTGTAGGAGGAGGGAAAGGCGGTGGTCGCCAATCTCGCCGCTCGCCGGGGTCTACCACAACCGGCGGCCATGGATGACGGCGTGGTAGGGAATGAAGTGGAGACGAGAGAGTGCTGGACTGGTGTATTATATGTTTTTAGTTTTGGACTATGAATAATTTTCAAAATATTTGCTTTATTACACCTTGTTCAGTTAATCCCTCTCACAAAAGAATTAAGAGATATTTCAAAATGATTTATTCCACACCTATTATAGTGTGGAATTATGCTCCTCAATCTTCTTCAATCCCTCTAGTTTGATTGTTAACTGAACAAGACTTTAGAAATATGAACCATAGGATATAGGCATAGATTAATCTTAAAAAGTAATATAATAAAATTATATATTTTTGATAATTCTATATAGAAAATTATATAATGGTTAAAGTTGCTTTTTAAAAACATGTTATTGTCTGAAATAACGAGTATTATTAAGAGAGTAATCTTTTTTTATGGAAATATCTCTACCAAATAATAGTCCTTTTAGCGAAAATAAGTGCTCCTAATTTTAGGGATAGAGTACCCACAGATGTTGGTCACCTTACTAATCTTGAGAAAATTGCAAAATTTTCAAATGAATATTTTGCTGATAATAATCCATATTTGATGCTTTGGTTTATATTTAACTCCAAGAGACAAATTATTCTGTTCAGAATAAGCATCACACAAAAATCGGCCCCTTACACCATTAAGTCAAGTCAGGCATGGGCTTTGGCCCAGACAAGTCAAGAAAACGGTCCACTAGTCTCTGGCCCAAATGAAGAAAATACCGCAGCTCGTTTCAGTAGGAATAAGTTCATCTGAGGCCCTTAACTTGTTAACGGATCCGATTTTCATCCTTCAACCGAAAAACCAAATCCAACGAGTCCTTCTACTGTTAAAATCGGTGCAAAATAAGTCTCAAAGCGGTTTGGACGGCGGTTTCAGATGACGTGGCACCTACATGACTAAACTCAGTCTTCATTTGACGTGACACATGAATCAAAATTTAACAATTAGAAAAAGAAAACAAAATAAAGTCTCACCCGCTTCTGTAACAGTAGCCATCATGTTGCTGATGCTGTGTTGCAAGATCAAAGGGATTTATGACTTGTGAGGAAGAAAAGAGTAAGTTCGTCGTCTCTCTCAAGGGCATGATAATGAGATGGTGTTCACCTATGATCCTCAGTTTAAAATTATGAGTACTAGCTTATTCTGAATTTGCATCGTATGAATATAGTAATTCACAAGAATTTTCTTAAAATATCTTGCATTTAGCAGATGATCTAGAGTATTGTCTTGTCTTGCAGAAGAAATATTACTACTACTACTTATGGCTAGTGCAGATGAGGAACTTGTGATCCAAGTTAGCAATGGTCGGGAGTGAAGCTAATCATTCTGTTTTATACTTCCTACTCTCTCTTAAGACCCAAGGGATTACTGTGCTCCAGATCTGCATTTGCGTGCTGCAATACAATGTGCAGCCAGCAGCAGCAGCAGCCTTCAGCACATGGAGTTCAGTAGTACTGTACTTCATGCTCATGGCCCTCAGCTGCTGCCAAACAAACAGCTGAAGGAGCAAGCAACTTAGAATGAAAGCTAACCCTGGTTTACCATCATCATAATCATCATCATCAAGAGCTTGCACGCATGCATTGCATGGACATGTGCCATGCATGTGACCAAGCAAAGACCTTAATCTTCTCCTGGAAACAAGTCCCTCCAAAAGTGAGACACATCACATCAATGTTATCAAGCAATGCAACAATGTTTTGTTACCCTGATCAAACAATGCAACAATTAAAGCTAACATCTCTGCATTTAGGACAGGAATCACAGGCAGGATGTTTCAGTGCTAATCTCTGAAAACTTCTGAAACTTTAGACCAGTGGGAGACCTGCTGGATTGAAAGGAGAATCACTGAATAGGTCAGCAGCTTTCTGACCAGTAAAAGGAGTGAGAATGTTCAGGCTTTGGCCAAAACTAAGATGAGAAAGAAAGCTAATTTAAGGCCACTTGCACACAAATCAACTTATCAAGGCAAAAGAAACCCTGCCTAACCTGCCAAACATACTGTCAAAGTTGAGTAATTTATACTCAATACATGTTCAGAAAATAACCTACTACTAATTGAAAAATAATTACCTCTAGCTTTGAGAAGTTTACATGTCCTGATCACTAAAAGTGACTAGGTCCTAACTCCTAATTAACCAAGCCGAGCTTGAGGCGGCCAAAGCGGATGAAATCATTGGGCATGCAGTTTCCGGGGTCCTAGCTGCTTATCTGGGGACAGAAGGCATCAACCCAAGCAAGATCATTTCCTTTTCTTCAATAATATTTGCCTACTAGATGCTATGACCCTAGCCATCTTTTCAGGCCAAGATAGTACTAGTAATCAACTCAAAGATCAGTATTAATTAAGGTTGGCAATTGCAGTGTTTGCTTCAGTTCATGGGCAAGGGTCTCACCACGCACAAGTCAGAGGCACCCGCACTCCAAAGGCATTGACAATCTGCCACACAAGGAGAAAGCAACCCCCAAGTACCCAACCACAATATGATTTAGAGATCGTTCAGTAGCAGTAGCAGTAGTGTATTAATTAGTCTTAAGCTTTCAGAAATAACTCCAGAAAACGAGCGATGAACACACCACTGTTCACACCTGCACACACACGACATGATCGATCATGATCATGGCGACATGGATCGATCGATCGATCGGTTCATCGATATGCCGGTTTCCGGGTTCCTAAGTTAACACCGGGAGAAATGGAAATGGCTTGTGTTAGAGGAAATGTAGGACACTCTAGCTGATTGATCTGTCTCTGCTTACTGCTACTACTCATATGATTGGTCTGTACCTACTGCTGATAGATAGCTTTTTCTGGCTTGCTCTCTGCAGCTATCTAACTCTAAGCCTCAGTTTAAAACAAATTATTGAGTGGATTGTTACTACGAATTATCTACTTGATAAATAAACTTGGTCTAAACAATACAGCAACACAAGGTTTTTTAAGAAAATTTATTTTTCGGAGCAGAACAAATAATCCGTTTCAATGTTCCGGTAAAAAATCTGAAAAGATAAGCCTAAACTAGCAGTACCTGAAACTGCACTTGCTGTTTGTTTAAGGAAATGGGAGCAATGACATCAGGTGAGACAGACAATTGTGTGAGTTGCAAATTGCATTGCTCTCTCTCTCCCCTGAGCCACACTGATCCAGCTAGATAGGTCTGAACCCTGAAAGAACCCTCAGGACACACTCAATGTTTCATGGAATTCGGTCGGGATTCGCTCGAGGACGATGCCGACTCGCGACAGCAAGTCGACGAATGAGGGTCGTGGAGAGAAATGAGATTGGTGGGGGGTGTTCTCATCAGGATTCCTATTTCTGGTCCAGCATCACCTGCTCTCCTGGTGCCCAGCCATGTGTTGTTTGTGGCCATTCTGTCAACAATTTGCATTATTGAAAGATATAGTGCTTGGAGGAGTTGAAGGGGACCTGTTGCTTGGGCACTTCAACTTGAGCCTAATTTCTGTCCCCATTTCTCCTCAAGTGTAATCCTGAATAATAAAGATTCGTACTAGTCTCCCTCTCATGCACTTGGTTTGGTTTCATGTGCTACTTAGTTACATGCACCGAAACATCGTCGATAATTCATGAATGGTGGAACATAGGTAAATTGTGCACGAGAGAAGGTGATTCCACGCCACTAACTTAGAGCCAGTAAGGTCCCTGCGCCAAGAAAAGCTTAGATGACTGGTTTGGAAAATTTCTGAAATAGTTGCATGTTTATGCCTAACAACGTTATAGAGACAAGGATATTGTTCTCTTAAACAGGCATTCCCCAACCATTTATCTTCCCAAAACCGAACTTGAGAGCCATCTTTGATGTTGGAGGAGCCAAACCTGAGAAAATCAGGCTTGGACTTCATTAGACTAGCCCAAAAGTGTGAGTCTCCTGCTTTCCACTGAGCTTGAGACAAAGGTTGTGACCTCAAATATTTGTTCCTTAGCATTTGTTGTCACACACCATCTGTAGTGAGTAGTTTATGCAACCACTTTCTAAGGAGAGCCTTGTTCTTAATTTTAAGATCTTGAATTCCCAACCCCCCTTGGTCTTTAGGACGACATATGATGTCCCACCTTGCTAGTCTATATTTCCTTTTGTGTCCATCCCCTTGCCAAAAGAACCTTGATCAGAAATAATCAATCTTCTTGATCACTCCTTTAGGTATTTCCAAAAAGGACATCATATATATTGGTAGGCTGGTAAGCACTGAATTGATTAGTGTTAGTCGCCCTCCAAGTGATAAAAGTTTGTCTTTCCAACTTGCCAACCGTTTTTCAAGCCGTTCAATCACTTCCTTCCACTCCAAATTACGAAGTCTCCTATGATGTATAGGAATGCCAAGGTAACGGAATGGAAAAGAACCAACCTCACATTGAAAAAGGTTAGTATATTGATCATGAGCTGTTTGGGCTTCACCAAAGCAGTAAAGCTCGCTCTTATGAAAATTAATCTTTAAGCCAGATAATTCTTCGAAAACGTTCAACAACATTTTCAGATTACAAGCTTTCTCTAGATCATGTTCCATAAAGAGTACAGTATCATCAGCATATTGGAGGATGGACAATCCACCATCAATGAGATGAGGCACCACTCCAACAAGCTGTCATGCATTATTTGCTCTCTGGATCATAACCACTAGCATGTCCAGATTATATTATCTCACGACCAAGATGAGTTTAAATGGAATCTAACCACTGATGGCAGATTCTCGGTTAAATCTCTTTATCTTGCGTTGGTGCAGACCGATGTTCCCAATATAAACAAAAGAATCTGGAAGATCAAAGCCCTCCTAAAGATTAAGATCTTCTTATGGTACTTACGTCGTGGAGTAGTCTTAACAAAAGATAATCTTATTAAAAGGAATTGGAGAGGAAACAAGTCTTGTTCTTTCTGCCACAAAGATGAAACTATTAATCATTTGTTCTTTGATTGTCGTTTTGCCCATGCAGTTTGGTCTTTAATCCAGTTTGCTTCGAATATTAGTTTACCTAATAGTACAACTCATATGTTTGGGCATTGGATAAGAAGACAACCACGCAATTTGAGATCTTTGGTCTTATTAGGGGCAACAACCACTATTTGGTCTATTTGGCTTTGCAAAAATGATGTGGTTTTTGAAAGAAAAAACATATCTTCTCCTTTGCAGGTTATCTTTTTGATTACACATTGGCTCCGCTCATGGGCTATCCTTCAGAAGGTCAATTTGCGGGGAACTATCGTTGTGGCTTGTCAACAATTGGAGCTAGTGGCCATGGAGTTTTCTACCCCGGCGCATGGGTGGCGTTCTAGGCTACGGTTAGAGGGCTCCTGAAGTTCTTTTTGTCCCTGCTATTTGGATGATGAGTTTATCTTTTGTTTCTTTCTTGTTGGCTGTGTGCACTCTTTGAGTGCAGAAGCCGGAGGTGCTCTCAGAATAATTGTATCACTTGATAGAATTTTACTGAGATTAATAAAGCTTCCATTATCTAAAAAAGGTAAATTGTGCGCGCTTCCTCATCGTCTTATGCTTTTAGGTTGAACTGGTTGGTTGTAACTAAGTATGGTATAAAAGCCAGAGCTTTTAAGTTCAAAAACCTCATTTTTCTCACCGGTTTAAGCTTTTGGGTAATTGGGTTGAACTGGTTAGTGCATGAAATTCGATAATAAAAGACACGTAGTTATCGTTGTTGACGTCATAGGTTCGAAACCCGGGTTTGACAGCGTTGGCAACATTGCATCGTCACATAGACTGGTAGACATCTAGATGCAATGAAAGGTAATAACACTGAGCAAGTTACCTCTTGGGGGGTAAAAATGATCCCCTTTTGGCACACCAAAAAGTCGCCGAATTTGATTGGAGCAAGGCAAGCAATTCCATTCCACAAGCCTCTCCTCCCGCTGGAGTTATTCCAATCCAAGCCTGCTGTATTTGTCACGGTAATGGCGACAGGGGAGCCCGGAGTTTTTCACCCTGTTGCTTGCACGGAGTTGCTCTGTGAGCTATGCTTGGACGTCATCTTCCCCGGCATGGTGCGATGCTGTGACGTCACCAACTCACCATTCTGTTTAACCTGCTGTTGTTAAATACTCCATCCGTTTCAGGTTATAAGATGGTTTAACTTTGGTCAAAATCAAACTACTTTAAATTTGACTAAGTTTATAAACAAATATAATAATATTTATAATACCAAATTAGTTTCATTAGATCAATAATTAAATATATTCTTATAATAAATTTATCTTGGTTGAAAATGTTATTATTTTTTCTATAAACTTAGTCAAACTTAAAACAGTTTGACTTTGACCAAAGTCAAGATATCTTATAACCTAAAACGGATGTAGTATTTAAATGTGGCTTTGCGGTTAATATTCTCACTTTTTTTTGAAGAGAAAAATAGCATGAGAGTGTGTCTTTTTCATTAAATATAGCGGAAGAACAATACAATCCTAAGAGCGAAGAAATATAAAAGGCCAAGAAATTATGACACTATACGAGGTGCGATTAATATTCTCACTCGTTTCGTGTAGATTATGCCCTGCTAATGCTGATGAATTGAGAGGAGAAAAAAGAGTGTGTCTGAACCAATGGGCATTGGATGAGACTTCATGAGACAGTTATTTCTTCCTGTGCATAATCACACAAAGAAAAAAAATATCCATTTCTTCAGAAAATTCAAAGAGAAACCAGTACAAGTTACTTCCTCTGTCCCAGTTTACTAGTCGTTCTAGGAAAGAGATGACAAAATATGGTGTTGGAAAAATGACCAACGTGCCCCTACATTAATCATTTCAATGCTTAAAAATTAACACAAAACTAGTACTGCGTCTGTTATTCCGATATATCTGCAACCAGCATGGGGAAGAAAATTAATAGAAGTACTCATAATAGTGGCTAGCCTGCTAGCTGCCCTACGCCTAAACGACCTTCTTTCTGGGACAATAACTCTACACCCCAATGACAACTAAACCGGAACGGAGGGAGTAGTTATACTAGGAAGTCAGATGCTGATGCAGATGAATCTTAAGTCAGATAAAATGTTTTTTTTACAGTGCCCTTGAAATATCTGCCAGGTGTGTGGGCCCAGGAGGCCCTAAGATTCAGACATTGGAGATGCTTGGTTGCTTGGAAGGAGGGGGCAGGAAGCAACTCGGCATATTAAGCAACGGCCAAAAGAGTGACATGATTACAATTAGAAGCAAGAAAAGGCGCTAATGATTCCTCCTAATCCACACGAAGTACCACGGAAGCACGCACAACACATGGCGATAATCAGCTCTGCCAATTAAGCCAGTTGATTAGCTCACAAGGCAATCACTGACAAGAACATCTGCACCTGTGTGCGTGTGTTCCTCCTGTCAGTCACTTGCAAGCTGCAGTTTGCATAGGGCACATCAGGGTCGAATCCGATGTGCAAAAACGAGCAAAGTGCCAATCCTGAAGTTTGCTTCATGATTTTTATCAGAAAAAATGTTTTTAAAATGAATAACCAGACAAAAATGTCCCTAAAAACATGGAATCATATAGCAATCATAGAAACAATAGTACTCAATTTTTTTTGTGCAATGGCCAATGGGCATATAAATCCAAGCCATCGAGTCAAGTGAATTGCTTACATGGCATGATTAACAATTGACCATAAACCCTCTAGTCTATCTTAAAACCAAAATAAACAATTAATTAAATCTCTGTCAAGCGCTACTTGGATTTTTTTTCTCCACTTTCTGAAAAAAGAGGGAGGAGAAGAAAAAGTTTTTGTATCAATCAGAATTTAGGAGACATGTTTAGGGTGAAACAAGATTGGATCATGTCAAATCGGAGAAGGAATCATACTATTTAAGCAACAATGGTGGCAGGATTGGAGTCTGCTCCACGCCACATGGATCCTATAAATTCCCCGCCCTTTTCTTCTCCACTCCACTCATCATCAAACTCTCTCTCTCTCTCTCTCTCTCTCTGAATCTCTGGATCTCTGAAAACTCTGAACATTCCAAGAACTCATAAGTTACCTGTGATCTGTGAAGCTTGAGCTGAAGCTGTGACAGTGTCTCACTGATCGTTGATCACTCAGCTTGGCTGCTACTGTGCATTCACTGCGTGGTTAGCTAGCTAACTGAGCAGAAGAGCTTTAGCAATGGCGACGCCGGGGCAGCAGCTGCCGCCGGGGTTCAGGTTCCACCCGACGGACGAGGAGCTGGTGGTGCAGTACCTCCGGCGGAGGGCGCTGTGCCGGCCGCTCCCCGCCGCCGTCATCCCGGACGTCCACGACGCCACCGTGCTCGACCCCTGGGACCTCCCCGGTGCGGTTTTCTTGATCCGTTTTGGTTTCGAGGAGGTGCGGCGCCATTGCCAAGCTCGACCGAGCGGGAGACTGATCGTGAACTCTCTCCTTCTGTGCAGGCGCCGGCGATGGTGAGGCCTACTTCTTCAGCTTCCGGCAGCTCGCGGCGGCGAGCGGCGGCGGCGGGTGGCGGAGGAGGAGGGCGGGGAGTGGGTACTGGAAGGCGACGGGGGCGGAGAAGCCGGTGTTCCTGCGTGGCTTCGGGTGCGGCGGCGGCGGCGGCGGCGGCGGCCAGCACCTCGTCGGCGTCAAGACGACGCTGCTCTTCCTCCGCGCGAAGCCGCCGTCGCGCACCCACTGGGTCATGCACGAGTACCGCCTCGCCGCCGCCGGCGCTGTCGCCGTCGCCGCCGCCGGACAGACAAAGCGCGGGAACCATGTGAGTCTGAATTCTCCAATTCTTCAGTAATAACACTAATAGTACTGATACATGTGATTAAGTCTAATGTCATTCTGAATCATCATTAGGTTTTGCTTCAAAGGTTCAAATTAATTAACCCCAGTTTTAGTTCAAACTTTTATTAGAACAAACTTAGCATATGTATGTGAAATTTTTGGGTAAATTAACTGAAGAGAAGTTTGCAGCTTTTGCAAAAGGCTTTCCACAGCGCACGGCAGCATCTCAATCATGCAGACATGAGAGAATCTTTGCCTCCTTTCAAAGTAACTTAACCTGCTTGGCTACGTGGATTAGGACACTTCACTGTGTGCGGCCACTTGTCTTGCATTGTGTTCCATCAAAAAATTTAATTGAACCTCTTTGTCACTCACATCTCATCTACTAGCATGCACCCGTCGCTGTAAATTTAAACACGAATTCAGTTCAGTTCAGACTTGAGAGCTCAATTTGATCATCTGGAATCTGATGAATGGTATCATTATGTTTTTCTTTGCAGAGTTGCATGGCTCAGCCAGGAGAATGGGTGGTGTGCCGGATTTTTCTGAAGAACAACAGGTCATCAAGAAGGCGAGCCGGCGACGCCGACGGCGAAACGCCGGTCACCGGTGTCCACGGTCACCGTCGGCGGCAGCCGTCGCCGTCGCCGTCGTCGTCGAGCTGTGTCACGGCTGAGGTTTCAGACGGAGAAGGAGAAGAAGAAGTCAGCAGTGGCAGCATCAATGGTGCTCCATCTGCCTCTCAAAGAGAGGCCTAGACATGCTGAAAATCTCCTTAATTAATTACTAGTACTAGTGATTTTTTTTCTTCTTCTTCTTGTTCTCTTTTGTCCCTCCATTGCTTTTCCTGTACTTCTCCTTGTACCATAATGATTAGTAGGAGTTTAAGTTTAAGCAGCAGGTTGAAGAGAGAAGCCCCAGCTTAAGAAAGCTCCTAAGTAAAGATTACTGAGCAGCAGCTGTGACATCTGTATCAATTGTAACTTGTAAGTTTCTCTTGATCATTTATTAAGATAAGGAACCTCAATTAAGCAGGAACATCAGATCGATCACCAGTTGCTAGCTACCACCAGCTACCATTATTCAGCTGTCATTTCTGCAGCAGTCAGATTAACTTTAGTCCAAAATTTTTCTCTGCCTCCTCTAGCTCCCAACAAAAGCCTGTCAACTCTCTGTTTGAAGAAAAAACGCATGTATACACTGTTTTAGATCAGCTGAAAATTAACTTCTCTACAGAAATGAAATCATATATCTGTGTACCAAAAGGTGTGTTTAGTTCACGCTAAAATTGAAAGTTTAATTGAAATTGGAACGATGTGACGGAAAAGTTGGAAGTATATGTAGAAATTTTTTTTTTGATGTGATGGAAAAGTTGGAAGTTTGAAGAAAAAGTTGGGAACTAAACCAAACCAAAATGGTCAAATGCCTCCTCCACGATATGAGCCCGATCGGTTGACCAATGATGGATTATATGCTAGAATGGCTTTAGTAGCGATACAAAATAATTTATGAGTAAAACTTTTATATGTGTCTCTAGCGACTTAAAGATCAATGCTGAAAAGAAAACAAAGTCCAAAATACCTTAAAATCAACTCCACAATCAAGCTTTAAATTTTAAATTTTGGCCGCGACTGATTCGTTGTAAGATAAACGATGATGCTTGAGACAAATGGCCTCCCTGAACTGGAGAGAGAGAAAAAAAACTTTTGCAGCTTTCAAGAGGCGAAATGAGAAGTTTGATCAGCGGAAGGAAGGAAGGGAGGAAAGAAGGACGGGTCCCCCTGGCTCGAGCGAGTCAAGTGAGAGTGAGTGACAGACACCTGCGAATCCACCGCGAGATCCTGGCGTTGAATCGCGGGGCGCTCTGCCGATCACGTCGCCAACAGTGTGACAGTTCAGCAAAGATGGCGATCTTTCTTTTGCTCTCGAGTGGCCTCGGTACTCTGAACTCTTCTGAAGTCTGAAGTCTGAACTCCTTCAAGTGGCGATCTGCATATAGATACTAGAGGTTGTCTCATTATTTATTTGCTCCCGATTACTGTGAATAGTAACAAGAAGTAGTATTATAGTAGTATGAATATATTTTTCTGAAGAATTGTGACATCTAGTATAGAAAAGAACGCAGTAAAAGTTGAGAAACCAGAAGTTTGCAGGCATTATTTTTTATCCAGAGGCAAATGCATATAAGGAAGTGAGGGAGAAGGTTTGGTCTGTACAGTTAAACTGATTCCGCTCCCTTTGTCGTGAAAATACAATCTCAAAGACATGTTTATGTTCTTACATTAAAAAAAACCTCAAAAACTTGTTTATGTTCTTAAGACAAAAATTACTCGTCCCTACACAAAAGTCAATCCACGAATTACTCCTTTAAATATTCCTTATGGTGGTTTTCTAAATGTATAGTTGTAGCGGTAGAGTCACGAGTGCATGATTCTACTCACCAGAGTTTAATTCCTTGTGTCCATAAATATGGTTATGTTCATCCTCGTTGATGTAGAGATGGGAGTTATACATTTTTCCCCTTTTTTTTTGGGATATACAGTTCCCCTCGCAAAATTCAGGTCGTTAATTGGAAAAACATTTATGCTAAACAGGCCGTCATTACGGTGATAGCAATACGAAAGCCCATCACAGCAGTCTCCCCTTTGACGGGCCGGCCCAATTACTCCCACAAACCAGGCTGGGCCTTTGGGCCAATATGTAATTACAGTAATTATTCCTTATACTAATAATAAATGCGCATTAAGCTGGGGGGCTTTCCTGCAAAAGAGCGCGGAAAATAAAAATCTCGCACAGAGGCGTATCCACGCTTTCCTTCTCCCCTCCCACCAACTAATCGATCTCCTCTCTCTCTCTCTCTCTCCCTCTCTATCCCATTCGCGAGGCGGCGTCTCCTCCTCCTCCCCGTCTCTCTCGCTTCCCCCCCAAATCCGGCGGCGAATCCAGGGCCCCGCGCCGCGCCGACGACCACCGCCGATCGCGACCAGGAGGGAGGATGCTGGGCGCCGCGAGGAGGCAGCTCGGATCCGGCCCCGTGAGTGCCGACGACCTCCTCGGTTTTTTTTCCTCGCTCGCTCGCCCGCCCGCCATCCCTCGGATTTCCCGGGGTTTGGTGCGGTTGGGTTTCGATCTGTGATTTGGGGGGTCGCTGACGGGTAATGGATGGCGTGTGTGGGGGTTGCAGATGCTGGGGCAGGTGCTGCGGAGGCTCCGGCCGGCGACGGCGGCTGCAGCGGATGCGGCGAGGGCGTACTCCGCGGCGGCGAAGGAGGTGAGGGCCTGGGTGAACCCTAGTTTTTTTTTAATTATTTTCATTCGTGCTCGCTGCATTGGTGTGGAATGAATAATGATCTGGTCTGGCCCGCGGAATTGCGTTGTTCTGTTTGTTGACGGGAAATTGGGTTTTGGTGGTTGGTTGTATCATTGATGTCGTGTATTTTGTTGTTTCGGTAGTATTAACGGAGCGAATTGTTTCTAGTTTGGTGTTGAGGTGGTTGGGGATGGTTATTGGAAGTGGCTGACGGTTCATGGAGATAATGTGATGTTTTAATGTGTACCTATTTTTTTGGTTGAGATCAACTTAGGATTGGTTTTGATGTCAGTTCTTATGTATAGCACAATGGAATTAGGTTATCCCGATTGAAGAATAGAATGTTGTCATGTTTTGATGACTGCTGATTTGTAGCCACATGTAGACTCGATGTCGGAGTGAACTGATATCTAAACTGCCTATAGATGTGGGTCGCGTGTCCAAATTTCCCACAGACAGTCAGGCTACAGGGTTAACAGTTTGTATTGATTCATTTGGCAGTCACTATACTAGACGTGGAGATACAGTCTCTTCGGATGGTATTGTGCGGTTTTTCTTTAGATGTATCGTTGTGGAGATGTAGACAGTTGACTTCAAAACTGGTGACTACTATATCTGCATAGTTCGATTACTTCCTTTGGGGCGTACTGTACTGTACTTGTGTTGGTGGTTTGTGGTGATTTAATTTGTATATGCTGGAAGGTCCTATTTATATTCCTAATTATTTTGTTGGTAAGCCGGTAATGATTTTTCTTTGTTTGATAAAGATGTATTGTTGTCTGGTAATCATGTCTAACATGTTTGATCTACATTGCTTGCTCACCTTGGTTGTTATGGCGCACTAGGCGGCCATGGCCCATGGCACTTGCTAAATGAAGCAATTTCTATCGCATCATATATCTACATGCTTATTCCTTTGCATTGTTCTTGCCCTTCTCATTGGCGTTTATTTTTTCCTCAATTACTTATCAAGTTAGTAGCACAGTGAATGAATGCAATAAGTGAAGTATCTGCTGGCTTGCTCTTTGCACTGAAAGGATCTTCATAGTTTGTTGAGTGGGCAAAGGGGAAAAATGACATTTCTATATTAAAATTTGTTTTTCTTTGTTGGGCACCTTGATATGGCAATTGGCAAGTTATCTGCAACATATTTTACTTATTCAGATGACTGTCCGTGAAGCGCTGAACTCTGCACTCGATGAAGAAATGTCTGCTGATCCTTCTGTTTTTCTGATGGGTGAAGAGGTACACTTGGAACTCACTCACTTTCTCTCCCTGATTTGTGTGTTTTTCTAAGGCCTTCTCTTTCGTGGCAGGTGGGAGAGTATCAAGGTGCATACAAGGTGTGTGAAGTTAAAAAATATTAGTAGTTGTGCCTTTCCTCAGGTCCGCTGTAAACGTATTAGCTCTTATCGTTGTTCATGAAGTGTATTCTGTTGCAGATTTCAAAGGGCTTGCTTGACAAGTATGGTCCTGAGAGGGTTCTGGATACACCAATCACAGAGGTGATTCTAAAAACCTTCTTACCTACCTTTCTTTTCTGCCCATTCACATTTTTTTCACACTAAGGTATCATGCGTTCATGTTCTAGTACTTATCTGCTTCAGTTCTGCTTTTCCAGGCTGGGTTTACTGGCATTGCTGTTGGTGCAGCGTATCAAGGTCTTCGACCTGTTGTAGAGTTCATGACATTCAATTTCTCAATGCAGGTTGGTAATGCACGAATTATCAATATGCTACTATGATAGTGGAATCAGTTTATATTGTTGCTTGCAGCAACGGATTGCTGTTGAATTTTATATTAGTTTTTGTCTATGTAAAGCAATGTAACACTTAGGTAAGTATGTTGTACAACTAGTTTGTTAATTTGCTAGTATAGATTATCTTTCCTGCATTTTAGTTAAACCATACTCTAATCCATATTGTACACATGCTTGATAAAGTGTTCGTCACTCAGGATCTAGTGTTCGGAGGTCCACCTTCTTTGATAAGAAACCCTCTTTTTTTTTTCTGAAGCTTAATAATTGACATATATTTATCAGGTGTACCTCATTAGTGTTTACTTCTGCATTATTTGTACCAATGACATATTTCAGTTTTTGTATGCTGTGATTTCGTTTTAATTATTTATATTACACATTCAGGCAATTGATCATATCATCAATTCAGCTGCCAAGTCAAACTACATGTCAGCGGGTCAGATATCTGTCCCTATTGTTTTCAGAGGACCTAATGGAGCTGCTGCTGGAGTTGGCGCTCAACACTCGCAGGTTTGTGATCAGGGAATGGCTTATGAATTAGTTTATCATCCTAGGACCCCATTGAACTTTGTAAAAGTTCATTGTTTCCTTTTGTTGTGTTGTTCTACCCAGAAACTGTCCTGGATGATCTGGCAACCTCTTTGCTAATGCTGAAATACTTAATATCCCCCTCTCCCCAAAATGCTGGTCTTTAGGTGTAGAAAAGAAACCAAAGATTAATTATGAGAGTTCTTTACAGCATGTGAAGCTGCAGTGAGCTGAGCAGGAAGTTTGACTGTTTAAGATCAGTTTGCCACTAGCTTTTATATTCTGGCTTTTTAGGCATCACTTGTTTTTGATAAATCATGGTAGAATTATTTTGCCACTTAAATATGTCATTATAATTGCAATTATTCATTTACAAACTGAATTGGTTTGCAGTGTTATGCGGCTTGGTATGCACATGTTCCGGGTCTTAAGGTTCTGGTTCCATATTCTGCAGAAGATGCTCGTGGCTTGCTCAAAGCTGCGATTAGGGATCCGGACCCTGTTGTTTTCTTGGAAAATGAACTGCTGTATGGAACATGATCTTGTTATGCTATACTGACTAGCCGTCATTTCCCCAAGATGCTGATATACTATTTTCTGCAGCTATGGAGAATCATTCCCTATTTCTGCTGAAGTGCTTGATTCTAGTTTCGCTCTGCCAATTGGCAAAGCAAAGGTATGTTGTACTAGCTGTGTACACATGTTTGGGAAAGAAACATACTTGCATAGAATTACCTTGATTATTTCACAGGAGTCCCTTTTAATGAACACCTTGTTTTCTAGATAAGTGTATACCAGATACATGCTGATATATATTTCTGTTATACAGTCAGTGAAGTTTGATGTACTTACCTGTGGGTCTTCTCTCTGTAGATAGAGCGTGAGGGTAAAGATGTTACAATTACTGCATACTCCAAGATGGTTGGATATGCTCTTCAGGTGCGTCATTTTGTAATTGGTAAACAATATGGATGATGAGTATGTTACGTCGATAACTTTATATGTTTTGGCTCATCATTTGCGCAGTTTTCTATGGTGTGGCATATCATATCTCTGTAAATTCTGATTACTGTATGTCTGTAGCGGCACTTGTGAGCTATGCCTTTTGGGAATAGCAATTTATTTTTCATTTTGTGCGGATAGAGGGATCGTTTATCAAACAGATGGTTGGTACGTCCATAAGTCTGATAGTTAAATTGATCTGCCATATTGTTCCTCAGAAAGTGTATGTTTCTTTCAGTTTATGCTATTTGAGGTTTTAAGTAGTACCAGCGGTACTTAAAATCTTTCACATTTATGATTGCAATATTACTTTTCTATGTTCTTATGCTCAATTTTTTTCAGGCCGCAGATATATTGTCCAAAGAAGGAATCAGTGCTGAGGTGATCACTTGTTAAACAATTTATGTTCAGTATAATAATCTATAATGCATCAATCTTTTCAACCACATACTGCAAAAGTTTCCTTATTTTTTACTGCTATTTGCCAATAGGTGATAAACCTTCGTTCAATTAGACCACTTGATAGAGCTACTATCAATGCATCTGTTAGAAAAACAAATAGATTGGTGACCATTGAGGAAAGCTTCCCACAGCATGGGATTGGTGCTGAGATATGGTACGCTCTCTCTCCACATGCATTGGCACACCTGTGTGTGGATAAGGACTTTTAGTTCTGACACTCGTTTTCTTTGCAGCATGTCTGTTGTTGAGGAAAGCTTTGAATATCTTGATGCACCAGTTGAGAGAATTGCTGGAGCTGATGTACCCATGCCCTATGCTGCCAATCTTGAGAGGATGGCTGTCCCACAGGTCCTTTTCTGTTTCTATCCAAAATTTTATGTTGTGTCTTGTA